TGCACAGCTGGCAGCTGTGGCTACAACTGTAGCTTGCCTCCACCAGTGTGTGAATGTGAGAGTGAATGAATAGTGGAATTGTGAAGCGCTTTGGGTGCCTAGAAAAGCGCTATATAAATGCAATCATTACGTGGCATGTCTCATTCCTTGGGGAAGACCATTCAGTTTCATCACTTTTTGACATCTATATTTCTCACCTTGCAGACTTGCAGTCACTCTCATCCTTGTCTTTAAACTGACTTTGTGACTTCGGTTAAACAATACTGCTATAGCTCACCTGGTTGAGCAGGTGATCTGTTGTGAGCTACAAATTGATGACCTCTGTTCTATCTAATACAGACAAAAAGGTTTCCATGAACTCCTCCTATTTCAAATCTTTGTCTATACTAAAATCACTGAGATTATCTGAGTAGAGAATCTTTTTGCTATCTTAAAGAAAATAAGGAGCAGCACATGCAAAGCTATTTATTTGTTGGGTCTCAACCCTGATTTTCACCAAGAATAGAAGGTAGAAAGGAGGAAAATATAGAATACCTCCTGCAAAAAAGAGGGTAAACTGTGCAGGCAGGTATAGCTGCTTGTAATCTAGCAGTGTAGAAACCTTTTGAGGGAAAGCAGGAGCAACAGAGAAAACACATACACATGTACAAGCAAATACCCACCTCTGTCATCCCACACACACAAACATCAGGCCACACAGGACGAAGATAGACTGAAGGGCCACAGCACTTCCCCACTTTTACAGACAGAGAGTACAGCAGACCTGAACAATGTTTGTATATTATTACTGCATCTGTTCTAAACATAAAATGAGCCAAAGGCAAGGAATTTGAGCTTGTAATAACAATAAATTGCATAATTTTCCTTTTGGTAAACACTTAAAATGAGTGACTTGTAATGATGTTGTCCTATTACAGTGCCAAGCTAAAATTCAGTGGGCTCTTTAGAACAAGCCACTCTTTCCCAAATACTTTTAAGATCCCATGGCAATGTGTTTAATTTTATGCACCTGTGGCAAACGGACTGAAAACACAACACATTTTCCATATGGTATATGTTTAAAGCAGCTGCATTGCATATTTTATCAACTCTCTCACATGTTTTTTTTAATCATGTGTCTGTACTAATATTTGTTGGTTACCAAATCATGAACGAACTGCTTTTCTGTGTAAACTGTCTTAACTGTGTCCTATTTAGAGTCCAACATGTCACTTCCCATCAAGATGAATTCTGCAAATATAGAAACGAAAAAAGATACTGAGAAAAGCTAAATGACATTGAGAAAAAAGAAGTGAAAATGTTACAAACACAACTAATGGCTAATCACCAGGGGAATGTCCGAGGTTAAATTTACTTAATTTTGTCTGTCTCTAGTAAAACCTTATCTTGATGCATGTTCAATCATCCAGGTAAATCCGAAAAGGTTGATTCTGTTCATCTGGACTTAGCGTTTTCAGTGGGAGAAACGTTTTCGTCACTCATCAAAGTGACTTCTTCAGTCTCAGCTGACTGCAGGTTTCTCCAAATTTATAAGTACATTTGCACAGTACATTTGCACAATGACTGAAACTAGACCTGAAACAATCGCACAAGTCCTGCTGATTGGCTGAGGAAGAATAAAGTAGTCATGGCCAGTGTTGGGTAAGTTACTTTAAATTAGTAACTTAGTTACATTACTAGTTGCTCATATCAAAAGTAACTCAGTTGCTTCAAGTTACTCGTTACTTTCAGAGTAACTAGTTACTAGGGAAACTAACTTTGGTTTTACTCAGAATTCTCTTGTTAATGTGTTGCTTCCGTAACTGGATACCCAGCAAG